TAAGTCGGCAGCCCTCAATCGTTAACGGGAAGAAGTCGGAAATGAAACAGTCAGGGAATCAATATTTATAATACCATATGAGCCACTAAAATATCTCACCCTTTTTAATAAGACGCATAATTTACCTTAACATTCCGAGGCATCTGAGAGACCTTTTGGACAGCATTTGTGGCAAAATAAAATTGTACAGGGATAAAATTTCCTTTTTGTTAAGTCGGTGCGAGTACGTTTTAGCGCGTATAGAGCCTCATAATGAGATAAGTTCGCAGTTTGATCGATAGAACGGCTCAGCACGGCTATCGAACGTTTTTGTTATCAGATTTACCGGATATGTAGGAAATATGTTATTTTTTCTCCTGCAAATAAAATGATTTTAATTCAGTTACAAAGTTGTTGGAAACATGTATTTTTGGAGCGTTAGTATTTCCATTCGCTTACGAAATCACACAATTTTGTCCAGATTAGTACGCGATTTGAATTTCGAATGTTTTAAGAATCTTAGTGGTAACAAAGGTTACCACTAAGTACGAGCAAGTAAGTACCTACAATAAATGTAACAAGAATTCATTACCTATTCATTCAAAAATGTCTAGTTTAAAAGGAAATTAGATTTGCACCATAAATTCTTGGTAATAGGATTTCGTGGTCATGCGACAAAGTCTTGAGGTCGTTTGTGTTCTGCGTCAAATTAAAGTAGGCAAACATAAGCCACCACTTGGGTTTGTTTGCGACTGGTCGTAATCGCCTTTTGCCTCAGGAATACGACATAAAACTCTGTTTCGTTGTTTTGCGCTTAAATTATACTAAACAATGATCATAACACGAAAACAGTTTACAAATACAAGCGGTTACTGCTTTATTCGGGCTAAATGATGTTATAAGGGATGCAAACGGCGCTTCCGCGGCACGCTGGGTGCAAAAAGGCTTGTTTGTTTTTAAGAACAGTGGACCTAAGAGTTGCGTTAATGAGTTTTGGTGAGAGACGGAAGGTTTTCCGCGTTATTAAGGTTCTTTTCCGGTTTGAAGTGAAAAATCAATTTGTTAGCGGCCATGCGCCGGTACACGGTGTATTCGCGGCACCAACGAATTAGTGCAACCAATAGACCGAACCGACACCCGATCTACTATTATGGGGTAATAGGAGCTCTGCAGTTCTTAAACTATCCTACGTTTGACGTTTCCTATCACACGTGGTAATTTGTAATTAGCACTTTCTGACTAGAAACAAATTTCCAACTTAAGAGAATGGATCATTTAAGATAGAGTAATCTATAAAATTAGCCACGACCAATGGTCTTGCGTGTTTAAGAAATTGTAAATCGATTACTCTCGAAATAGCCGCATGATTAATCTCATTACCTTACCCAAGTTAATAACTAACATAACATAATAAGACGCTTATGTAGAGCTAAGTAATTGCTTCAATCAAATTACAGTAAATAAACAGCAGCCTTTCTTTTAGTACAGCACACAATAAAAGTGTATGGAACATACCTAATGGAAATCGCCGATACAAGCGATTGCTTTCCACTTTGTTTGAGGTCTATAACCTGGTTTTATTCGTCGGTTTTATGAGTAGTCAAAGGATAAGATATTTTCTAGTTATTTCTGGAGAAAATATATCAGTCCAAAACCCGTAAAAACTGAACATAAACGTTTCAGTCAATCTGTTAGTCGGTCACATTCGATTTCCTCAGGGACGAATTAGGTTTGTAACTTTTTTACGGATATAACATTAAATTAATTAATTAAAGAAATGTTAAATGATTTACATTTAAAATATGTATAAATGGTAATGCACTAACATTTGAAAAAACAAAATCAATTAGGTATGGAAACAAAATTATTAAATCAATATTGCTAGATGCGTACGAGAGAGAAACATTTCAAAATGTAAGTTAAATCATCGAAAATACTGAAAACTGAGAAAAAATGGAATGCGAATTTATTAAGCCATAGCTAAGCAAGTAAGATATTTAAAATCAATAAATTTTGTAGACTTTCAGTTTTAAACGACCCCTATCTTTCATTAATTTTCTTCAGATAAAGAGCTTGAGTTGGGAAGCTACAAATATTGACTTCTTCGTCTGATTGGGAAAGCTAGAAATTACTTTCACTAAATGGAATTCGCACAAAAATAGGGAAGAGTTTATACAAACATCCGCCTATTGCCGGGTTAATATAAGGCCCAGGAGGGCGTAGAGGGTATTTATAGACGAGAAGGGCGCGTTAGCTTGACCCCAGTACACCGTCTCTTGCACACTCTTGCCTGAAAATATGTCGAGTGGCAGATGTTACTGTTTCTTATAAGACTACTTTCCTTGTCATGAGCAGGGCGTTATAACGATAAGTAATATTTTGATAATACGGTGAAGGGACCGAGCTGGATCAAGTAGATACTTAGCAATAAACTATGTTTGAGCTTCAGTCTACATAAATTCTTTAAAAATATAGGCTTCACAAAAATTTAATTCAATGATCTCTACAATAATGAACTAACATTTTTTCAATCGGAATTAAGAAAAGTAATAAAAAAGCTATTGAAAAGTTTTTATAGGACACAACTCTAAGTCAAAATACGACTAAGTACCATATTTTGTAGGTCGACCGGCGCCGGCGGGTTATGTTATGAGGAGCCGTTCGCAAAATCCCTTACGAGTTCCTTACTCTTAGTTTAGTGTTCTGGCAGGCTTTAGAGCTTTGAGGTCACATTGTACATGTGTTGAGCCGTACTTGGTCTACTTCCAGGGGTTGATGTCAGCTTTATCCAACATTCATATTACCTAACGTAAATGTTGTATTATAATAGGTATTACCTATGTGATATAGCAAAATACTCTTTAATCAAAATGTACTAGAATGAAGAGTAACTAGTTACATAGATAAGTAATTTAGATAAATTTTATTGATATTAGATATAGCTTTCAGGATTTCTATATCTCAAGGTGGTATTGTTCGCTCTTTACAAAAGGGAGAGATTAGATATCGTTAACTAAGATAATAACCCTGTTTATTTCTCGCAGAGAAATTCACGAGAACCGTTACCACGAGTGCCTGCTAAAGTCAAATTTAATTAAATCTCCTACTTATCTAAAGAGTTCGCTTCCCGGAGATATAGAATTGAAACTTTCCTTCTGGGCCCAAACTTTGGAAATCGAGATACTTTAGGCATTCCAATCTATTTTGAAACTTCACTAATGTTCAGAGTTCTGTACCTTACTATGTCTACCCTATTGTTTTAATTTCCAAAATTTATTTCAGGAGAGAATATTTTACAGCTCGATGGCATAATTCAAACTTGATTTGTTTTTCCTCTAGCTTGGAGGACACTTTGACCAGGTAGAGTTAGTTAGACACAGAGTATTTTTCTTTGATCCCCATATCCTGGGAAATCTTGATTTTTGGATAAGTTGAATACTTTATAGAAAACGTAGAGTACCAATGTCAAACTTTCGATACATTGTAACCTTTTGCGACAGTAATCGTTACTTACACGCGTAAGGCAACTTATAAAATCTGACACGAGACCCTGGCACGTCCCTTACCTACTCAGGTCTAGGATCTGTGATGAACTAAATAATGTGGAACAACGACTCAGTCAACTAGATTTTGAATAAGTATAGAGTTTCTCTTCAAGTAGGTAAAGTAGACATAACTAGATTCGCAAGACGATAAGATGTTAATTTGACTAAGCGGGCAATGCAAGCGCTGATATCATAATTTATATTGTTATGAAGTAAGATGTTATCAACTAAGTATGCAAAACTTGGTGTAGGCAAATGTGTTTATAATTGTGTATCTTCTTTCCATTAACATAAGAACGCTTTCTAGCGTTTTGGATCGACTTTCTCGACTTGCCATTAGAGTAGAAAGAGACAAAAAAAGTTCTTAAATAAAAAGGAAACACCAATTTTTACAATATCATGTTTGGTGAATTTTGAAATTAGAAACATCATTTTCGCTTCCACGAAATGAATGAGGTCTTTAAAATGTTTATCATAAGAACCATCTACTGTTATCTTTATTATGCTTGTTGCTTTTATTATCATGCGAATTGGTTAATTATTTCACTCAGCCCAAGTTGGTACATTGCACTAAGTATTTGACGAACTTGGATATGAGTAGGAAAATATGGTATACACAACACACTTAAGACGTTAGGCAAGTAGTAGGCAGTTCTTAGAATGTTATCTTTAGCAAAAACGGCTGAGGTCAGGTTGTAAGGAGGGTGTACATAATCGGATTGCGGTCGGTGCCGCGTGCCTCCGCCGGAGAGGCGGGAGCGGGACTTGCAATATCCGCCCTGATCCCCAATATCGCTCTGTATGGATTTAGGACATAAAATTCAATGATTATAACATAACCATATAAAGCATAGCAACATATCTAATATGATAGCGTTATGATGGTAATCTATTTTTATATGACTGCTGTAAATGATATTACCGAAGATTAGTAAAGTGTTTGCGGTGTAGGTGGTTTTAGCCTCATCCTGTATTGACAAATAGTTAAAGTTGATCGACATGTCGTCAAAAAAATTCTCAAATTAACTCCCTGGAATAACGTCTCTACACAACGCCATCAGAAATTAGGTACCTACTTACTACAACCTCATTAATCACAATACATTGTGTAGACTAACGACTCTCTTATAGAGCAAATCCGTAAGTAGTACAAGCATAATAACATTACTCCCCATACGTATAGAAATAAGCAATAACAGCCTTTATTGCAAAAGCTTTGGGGTCGTAAGTAATATTGTATTTTTTACCGCAGCAAAATTCAGCCTTGATACAATAATATATCTCATTTTACATAGAAATAGCGACGCACGGTATTTGCCTTTTAAGAATAGTTGTGTGGAACGCTCTGAATAAGTAGGTACGGCTAGTATTAAAGTGGCGAAAGTGTGAATCAAGTATAGTAATAATGTAGGTACCTATCTAGCTGTCCTCTTTAGCTTTAGCGGTTTTTAAAATTTTACTTTGCTTTTGTTGCAGGTAAACATGAGGATCGACCAAGGAATTGACAACGGGAATGTGGCAGCCATCAATCCTTATGATAATGTACCACACGTTAACATAAACAATCGAAGTTGGCATTTATCTAATAATATCCAGTCTAATAATCAATATCAAAGCCATAATTTGCAATATAATCTCAACTCTAACTACAACCACCAAGAAACGCTAGACAGTCACGGAGTTTTTGAAAATAACACTGCAACTTCTGAGTCAACTAACATTATAGATAGTGACTCTCATGTAAAAGAAGTGTGTAATCGGCAATACAGAATATACTCCCAAAACAACTTAAACGTAAACACTAGCAACAATATTCAAACAGCCAATCTGGCGGGAAGTGTTGTTAGTACTAACATCCACAGAGAAATATTTAAAGGTGTGTTTTTGATTCCATCTTTCCTAATAATCAACCCAAACCACAAACACGTTAACGAGCAAAATACACTTTCACTTTAAGATTTTGTACACCTACCTGTTGCTTTTGTCGTTTAACTCATAAAAGATTTCATAATAAGGTAGCACTAACGATCTCTATATTAGGGCACCGCGAAAACAATTTATTTATCATTAAAAAAAACATGAATATATTTTGCCTTGCTTACGAATATGAACACCGTCTACTCAAGCTCAATGGGTAGGACGAAAACTTTTCTATCATAAGGCTATTAAAGGCAATATTGTAATTGAACATCCCATTCACGAATTTAGTACGTGCTCTCGTTTGACATAATTTCTCGTTGAGTACCTACTTATATGTTTGAGTCCTTATTCAATAAGGTGCCTTAATAAATACCTACTTACATTTAAATTGGATTTATTTCAGAAGACTCTAATGAATATTCCAATACATCACCCATTGAAGAAGACAGGGCGTTTGAGCACTCTGACACAGATGAGATGTCTGAAAACGGTATACAAGCTTTACCACGAGGCATTGTAAATCCAAACTACCCTGGTTTCCAACACTTGGCGCACACTTTGCAGGTAAAGTTTCCATCGGCCAAAGAAACCTTGAAAGTGTTACTACTTATTTGAAATAAGGGCACAAGAGAAGCCATACCAGTAACTTACCTGTTACGGGACGCACCTACCTGTAATAATCAGTCCTATGGTATTAAATGACCTGAAAAATGTTGTTGCAATTAAATACTTATAATATAATTATCATTGTTTACTTTTCAGGATTATTCTTCAACCATAGAAAATTTTTACCACTCGGAAAATGAAATGACTGACGATGATGTAGATATAGAAATAACAGAATTAGCATATGAAAATGAACCCATTCAAAACAACACTTTATTAGAGAATACAAATATTAATAACAACAATAATAATGAAAATTCAATAGTTTGTTCAGATTTTCAGACGTCTGAGAATGACTTGTTAGCAAACACATTATTAGATAGTCACAAAACTAATGATATTCCAGATATTATAAAAACTATATCTCAAAATAATAATAATATTAACTCAATCAACTGTGACTTTAATTGTACAGACACAGATATAGAAAACAATTTTGATACAAAAGATATAATAGGCGATTTCAATAAAGAGATTGAAGATGAAATAAAACAATTGCTTAATTATAACATCAATATTCAAGACGACTTAGAAGAATTAAGAAAAGATATTAAAGATACGTTTGCGAAGCCTATAGAAAATACCATTAATAATATAAGTGAAGTGGTTAATCACGTAATAAAGAAATTAGTTGAAACTAATAGTTCCGAACAAGTAGATGATTGTACAGATAATTATGGGAATGAAAGTGCTTATGACAAGGAAAGAGATGATGTAGATAAAGATAATGAAACAAACACAAGAACAGAAATGAATCTCAGTAGGCCTACATTTTTACTAATTGAAAATACCAACACTAATATTGTAGATGCTCACTTATCAGATGGTAAAGATGAAATCTCTATTGATGAAAAAGAGTATGACACCGATAAGCTAAGCAATGACGTTGAGAAAACAATTAAGCAACTAAGTACAGAATTGAGAAAGATAATTCCAAAACTGGATGAAATGCGAGAAAGGGATAAATTATGGGGTATAACTAACACGGATACAAGGTCTATAGTCACAGATGGAAACTCCAACGAAGTAGCTTCTTCTTCGTGTCATTTGGTTAACTCAAGGGAAACCAACTCTGAAATTAATATAACTGTTCACAATAGAGACGATGATTACATTAAATGCAGGAGTCCATTGAAACCAAAAAGGTAAGCATTACACGTACACGTAGGTAGTATTAAAAGGGCTTACATGTAGATAATTAACACTCGATTTTATTATAATAACTAGTAGGTATTTATACTGTTATTGCGTTTACCGTTCTACAATAAACTCTCATTAATAATGTTGTTAAAAATGATTTGAACATGGGACTGCGAACGTCATCCTACATGAGATCATGAAAGAAACTAAGTGTTATAACGTGTGTAGATTTAGGCATGTACACTCGTATACCACAACGCAACATTTTTAAAATAGATTTGACTCCGCATGACTTAATCTAACAAATTTAGGAGCAAACTTCCTTTGTAAATTTGTTTCGGGCCTTGTGTCTGTTCAATTTAGCCGGGGATTTGTGAAGTTCGCTAGACTAATTTCAGTTTTACTCATCTTTGAGGCGTGGTACCCCAAACAGGTGGTTTCTCTAACTCTACATAAATATGTTTTGTGATTTTAGCGAATCAAGAGCATCGAGAGAACGTCAAAAGGAAATAATCTCACCTAGGGAAAGTGCACGAACCGCTCAAAACAAAATATCCGTCCGTAATAACAGTGCTAAGGAATGTGATCTAGGTAAATATTACTTATTTGTTTATTTTTTGTCATAATCCTGTGTTTTAAAATATTTATGTGCATACAAGTGAACCTACCTGCTGAAACTAATAACAGCTAGGTAAGTGGGTATAATAGCTAGGATATAGTTATGTTAGTCATAACTTTACCATTTTGAGGTGGGTTGCTTAAAAGGTCATATTTACGTAGATGCTTTCACAATACATATAAAAATTCAGGACCCTAACCCACAGGGAACAATTAAAAAAGAAGGACGAAGAGTCCAATAATGACTTTCCATAATTTTTCTTTAACGGTTAGAAAAAGGAGAAAACGTTGAGGATGTCAGTTGTAGAGAACTAGTTAATATAAAAAATAAGCAGCACAGCAGCAGCAGCAGTCTATGTTATCTTTTCTAAACGTATGAATTATAAAAATAATCTGCATAGGAAAAGTAAATGTAGGTACTTAGCATGCACCAAGTATCGTAGCCTAAATGTTAAATTAACCGTTTCAAAATATTAAGAGGTAACAACATAAAACTGCTTGAATAATGAAATGAGTTAGACTTTACTTGCTCTACGCTGGACTACGGCCGTGGGTATCGCACCAGTGACAGAAAAGAAGAAACACACAAAAATAAATTGGGGCACATTAAGATAAGAAAGGGATTAAATTTAATAGATCCTATTTAGAAGAAATGTAGGACGGAAGCAGAGATGGATGAATCGTGTGAGGATTGTCAATTAAGGCTGAGAAGGGAGTGGAGGAAACTCAATAACAATAAAATTGACCTGGTTGATCTAAAGAGCGTTTATCTAAAGTGGTAAACAAATGCTAAACCTATCTATTAGAGGTATTTTACTTATTCATTTTTATTTTGTGTTTCAGGAAGTTTTGATGTGTACAATATAGAAACTGCATTACCCAAATTAGATTTGGATGCAATTGAAAATCACATAAGAGCGGCTAAAGAAGCAGAAAGACGAGTAAGTTACCAAGACCTTCTGATAAAAGTGTAAACTTTCAAGCTAAATTACAGGATAAGTACAGACTAATTACGTACTGAACTACAAACTAACCGTTGATTATTCTGTCTGTTTATACAAACAAAACAGAATATTGTTTTGAATTCCGCGGCTAGTAGTGTAACTGTACATTCGCGTTAGAGTCCACGTTCGAAGCGACCATGTGTAACAGTTATTAATCAGCTACCAATAAGTAGTGGGACCAGCTTTCTAAGGTGATTCAACGGTGTAGTGAACAGTGCAGACAGACTGCCAGTCTCTTGACACCAGTTAACTTCGCAACGTGCGCGTGCGACGGTTGTATTTTACGTTTCTATTGTGTTAAAGTGATGGCGTCAATGCCATATTTTAATCCTGAACAAAGACACTATAAAAAGGATACCAGATTTCTTTTGGATTTATACACAATTACCTATGATAATCATGAATCAGTCGACAACATTTGCTGCCTTGTAAGTTTTTTTAAATTTATTTAACTGTGTAGATGCAAAGAATTTATGGACAAAATAGAAAAATGGAACACACAGTAACACACTTGACCTTGTCCTAAATGTCACAGTGACAGGATCAGGATTTGACACATTGACAATAAATTTGACAAAGGTTATTTTTTACAAACGAGTTTACGATTTTCACTAACAAACACGAGCTTGCCATAGCTGTGCCATATTTTTGCCAAAAACTGAAGACTGACTAGATTTAAGATGTTTGAGAGTTTGATTTCTAACATAAAACGTCGATTAAGCAAAACTTCTGACGATGTTGTTGACAATAAAGACTCGGACAAGTCTTCTATAAAACGGCGTTTGTACCTGTTTAAGTCGAAACTTCAGAAGCCTGAACCTGTGTCGCTCGTACCTGTGAGCTATTGTGATGATACTGCCCTGAGCCCAAGAGCTGCAGGCACGGCTGAGGCGGAGTGCGCTCAAACAGAGATAGAGTGGCCAGATCTCGTTGATAAGAATCCAAATATTTTAGATAAATTTACCCGCATTGTTACCAAAGCAGATGTATTCGATACCAAAGTAACTTAATTTAATTTTTTTTAAATATTTTTAAAGTTAAAAAGATTTTAAGTAAGGCACATTTTTTTGTAGAAACGCAATGATCGAGAGGAAATTAGAAGAAGATTGGCAATGGGTGTTGATAGTGAGGAATATTATAGTATGGGCCACACAGATCGCCCAGGGAAGAAACCTAGCTTACATTCCCGGTTACAAAATGGTGAGTAATAACTTTATAATTAATAATTTGGGAAAGGGTAAATTTACTACCATGGGATGGTTATGGAAATTGTTGTGTTAGTGTGAAGGGTTGTGTTGTACCATTATGTAGGTATGTGTAGTTTCTATTATAAAAAAAGGCTGTAAAATAAATTACAAGCAGAATTTAATTCTATATAATAAATCCAGGAAACTAATTTCTTTGTGTTTTTATCATGATATAATATTTACAGCCTTTTTAATTTCCATTTGTGTGATTAATCATTTCTTGTGTTGTGCCATAATGCGCAGGGATGAATCTACAAATTTGTTTCATGAATGAGACAGCATCAGACAATGAGTCTCAAACGTCAGACGTAGAGAAAAATTCAAACTATAATAGCAAAAGTTCATCCCGATCAAGTCTTATCAGCAAATCCAGCTATAATCATCCTTACCAAACAAGACCATTATCAGTAAATATCACAAAACAAGACAAAATTAGCACTGTTCAAAGTGGTAAGTATTGCCATGCTAGTCTTCATCTTAATTTCAAACTACCATTTTTGATAGCGTATCTGCTTACTTGTTCCTTTTATGTTTTTTTTTGTATTGTTCTATAAGATATTAATATGTTACTTTTATATGGGAAGTACATATTTTTCAAAAATTCAAAATACATATTTGTATTGTTAAAGGTACAAAATAATAATCATTTAACACTGTTGCTATTGAAGTCTAACCAGTCAACAATATAATTTTGATCTGATCGTTGCACTATGGACATGCTTTCAACATTTTTTTTGCTTTTATTTTACACAAGATAATATTCAATGTCATAAGTCAGTAGATTTTAGGCTATTCTTGGGAGAATTAAAAATATGTTAATAGCATGACTTACATGATTATTAATGTAGTAATGTAGTATTTAGTATTAGTACCAGTAGTTGTGGGACTTTATCTGTAATAGTAAAGTCATCATAGTATAGTATAGCACAAATTGGTAAACATTACAGGTGCAAAACTGCGACCCACATCTTTATCAATGCAAAAAAAGTCCCGATCTTCACATTCGTTGGGTCACATTGAGCTAAAGGAGTCAGATTTTTACGCTCTACAAGCAACACTACAGACAGAAGCCAGAATTGCATTAGCACAAGCTAAAGAAATGGCCCGCATACAGATGGAGGTAAGATCTAATTGCGAAACTGTAATATTATTTGATGTTTTTTGTCAATTTGTTATATTTATTGCCAATTAAAATTGTTAACGAATGATAATAAACATTATCTGCAGTAATTACATTTGAAAGTTGTAAAAACTATATTTTTCTTACTAATCTTTACAATTATGTATCAATATCTTTTCAATGTGTTGCATTGTGGTTTTGCCGAAGAATTTATCCAACGCTGGAAAGCAATATCTATTCTAATTTATTTTTATTTTAAGTGACTTCAGTTATTCCTACCACACTAAGAAGCTACAGCACTTGTGCTGTATTATTTACTAAGACCGTATCGGACGGATATCGATTCAGTATGTTTTTTAACGTACTTTACTGCTTCGCTCTGCAGCGATCGCAATCGAATCTGTTACTAATATTACTTTGTCTAGGGATTATACATATAGTGTGATGTCAGGACGTGGCGTTAAAGCGCGCCAACACTCGACGAAAACATTCTATTTCGTCATAAAGTGTTAATGCATTTGCGTACACTGTTTACTATTTAAATTACGATGGTATATCGTACGTTAACTCGATCGGTTAACTGCGCACCTCGCTGGAATACGACTCCCTTCCACTACCCGCACATCTCCCCGCGTTCGTCCCGTTGTGCCAGAGCGTCGATGTGACGTCACAGCTGCCAGGTATGCAGTTAACTCGACCAGGTTGTGTTAACTCTTCAGCATTGAGTATACACAATACACGCCTATTTTACTATCGCGTCCTGGGGGCGTAGTGCGAGTTTATGTCAAACGCATTCGATATCGACTGCGTTAAAAAATATAATTATGAAGATTTTAGTCCTTGAAAGTTTCCGCTGGGGGTGCTGTACAATACATTTACGGCCTTATTAATAAAAGTTACGGCCTTATTAATAAAAGTTACGCCCTAGTTGAACTCTGGCTTAAGTTGTCTAAAGCCTGGTCTGTGAGCACGTAGAATTTTGTCCAATGACCCCAAGCTACCCATCCTCATCGCTCGCGCGTAATTATATTGCTGTCGCGACTGTGCGACGGGCGCCCGAAGTGAATGTGCGAACGCAACAGCAACATAATTACGCGCGAGCTATAAGTAAGGGTAGCTTGGGGTCATTGGACAAAATTCTACGTGCTTGCAGACCAGACTATAGGTGTAACTTTTTACTAACCCTTAAATGCATAGTGTTGCCATATGTCTACGAAGTACTTTTTTAATTATAAAAAGTAACACATTATATAAGCGTTTCTGAACGTACGCTAATATCATAGAAAACATCATAATAAAAATGAAAAAAACGCAAATGAAGGTAGAGTTGAAAAAAAATTAACCGATATTTGACGTAGCGATTGCGAAAGAGAAAAAATTAGTAGTGTTAAAATTTGTGGTATTTGAATTTCGGATTCAGTGAGAATTAATTGCTAAAACGATTGGAAAAAAATACATACGTGTTAGAAATAATTAAGAATTCATTATTATAACTTATTTTTTTGGTAATCTATCCCGAATGTGCCTTCGACTTGATTTTTGTGTATGTAGCCAAATGTCTACACCATGCGTTTATGCCATAAAATTGTTCTATGGTTTGCTTATTTGGCTTTTCTTTTCAGCATGTTTGGCTCGCTATCTGAAAAAGAAATTGAGGCAGCTCTTGCTGCTTTGAATGATGGTGCAGTCTCAGAAGATGATGAAAATGATGATAATATCGATTTTTACCCAAACGTACGGGATTTATTGCATGATCTGGATGAGGAGTCCATAGATCATAATCTACCCTTGGAACATAACGAAGATCTGATCTAATATAAGCTCCTCTTATGACTATGGGAGGGTTATGTTCCAGGGTCTTCGTTATGTTCCAAGGGTAGATTATGATCTATGGACTCCTCATCCTGATCATGCAACAAATCCCATACGTTTGGGTAATAATCGATGTTATCATCATCTAAATTTTCATCATCTTCTGAGACTGCACCATCATTTAAAGCAGCAAGAGCTGCCTCAATTTCCTTTTCAGATAGCGAGCCAAACATGCTGAAAAAAAAAGCCAAATAAACAAACCATAGAACAATTTTACGGCATACAAACGCATGGTGTAGACATTTGGCTACATACTGTTAATTTTCAAAAATATACTTTTTTTTCGTACTACGATTTTTTTAATTATTTTTCCCCCTATCTGACTAAAAATCTAATTGAAATTTTTTTTTCATAACTAAATAAAAAATCATGCATTTAAGGGTTAATAAGGGGATAAATGTCACTTTTACGCACTCGATATCGAATACGTTTGATGTAGACTCACACTAAAGGTAGCATTCGGATCAAGACGACCGCGACGCGAGACCGCGACTCGAGACCGCGACCGGCGACCGCGACCCACTGCTTTATATGAATTAATAGGAAGTGCTGACGGATGCAAGCGACCGAGTCGCGCGACGTGTGGGCGTGGCCTGCCGGCTACTTGCGTCGCGGGACTCGGTCGCTCACAAGGCAGTGCCGTGGCGCGACAGATGCAAAATGGCCGTGTTTTCTTCGCACGAAGACGAAATTTTAATAGAATTAGTAAGTTTCGTATGAGTCGCACGACTCGTGTCGCGAAGATTCGTAAGTAGCTGTCGCCCTGCGACCTGCGACCGGTTGCCTGTCGCGGTCTCGGGTCGTGGTCTCTCGTCGCGGTCGTCTTGATCCGAATGCTATCTTNAGTCATCGGATTGAGTTGAAACCTAGATAGATCGACGCAGAAAAAAAAATCCTATCCAACAATGTATATAACTCATTTTGGCCAAAATGGCGCTTTAGTCCTTTTTCCTTTCCACTGACGATATGTATAAGTATTATGAAGCTATTTGGGTCATGTTTTATTTGTACATTGATAAAGTATATCGACAGCAAATTGTGTTNTGATTCATTCGAAAAATACATATGTATACGTATTATGAAGCTATTTAGGTCATGTTTTATTTGTACATTGATAAAGTATATCCACAGCAAATTGTGTCTTAGATTAATGCGCCGTCTTTCCCTTTGTCTGTACAACCAAAATGCTTAGGATTTGATGTACTAAGTAATTTACGTTTTTCCTTTCGCAGGTGATAGTTAACGAGCTGCACTCGCAGATCGAGTCGCTGANTCGTAAGTAGCTGTCGCCCTGCGACCTGCGACCGGTTGCCTGTCGCGGTCTCGGGTCGTGGTCTCTCGTCGCGGTCGTCTTGATCCGAATGCTATCTTAAGTGTGTTAACCGTGCTTATGTCACGCGTCCGCAGCGCGAGCGCCGCAGCCGGGCCGTGTCGCCGGTGACGGAGATGCTGCGCCGGAGCATGGAGAAGGCCAGCGCGCCGCTCGCGCCCGACCGCCGCCGCGTGTCGCGGCAGCTGCTCACCGACATGAACATCGCACAGTTACAGGTATGTTTTAATACTAAAGCCCGGTCTGTGAGCACGTAGAATTTTGTCCAATGACCCCTAGCTACCCAACCTTATCGCTCGCGCGTAATTATATTGCTGTCGCGACTGCGACTGGCACCCACAGTGAGTGTGTGAGCGCGATAGCAACATAATTACGCACGAGCGATAAGGATGGGTAGCTTGGGGTCATTGGACAAAATTATACGTGCTCATAGACCAGACTATACCAGCCTCCCTAGACAAGTTATAAAGACGTGACAGTTGTAATTTTTTCACCGACATGAACATCGCACAGTTACAGGTATGTTTTAATACTACCAGCCTCCCTAGACAAGTTATAAAACGTGACAGTTGTAATTTTTTCACCGACATGAACATCGCACAGTTACAGGTATGTTTTAATACTAAAGCCCGGTCTGTGAGCACGTAGAATTTTGTCCAATGACCCCTAGCTACCCACCCTTATCGCTCGCGCGTAATTATATTGCTGTCGCGACTGCAACTGGCACCCGCAGTCAGTGTGCGAGCGCGATAGCAACATAATTACGCACGAGCGATAAGGATGGGTAGCTTGGGGTCATTGGACAAAATTATACGTGCTCACAGACCAGACTATACCAGCCTCCCTAGACAAGTTATAAAGACGTGACAGTTGTAATTTTTTCACCGACATGAACATCGCACAGTTACAGGTATGTTTTAATACTACCAGCCTCCCTAGACAAGTTATAAAACGTGACAGTTGGAATTCCGAAATCGCTTCGCTCTTGCGTTTTTTGTATGGAGTTACTTCGCTCTTTGAATCGATTTCGAGATGAAAACTGTCACGTTTCGACAGTTTAGTCCGCTTCTCTTCTTTCGTTTTGTTCTTTCAGTTTATAAACCTAGAAAATGAATATATTTGCATTAACTCCATTTTATTGTTTTCTTATTTAAATGACGTTCGATATGTCAGGGATCTATTGCTAAAAAAACGTACTAAAATATTGCAGGCGGTAATGCCTTCTGCTATCGCTAGATAGCGATATCGTGGTAGGGATAGTTTTTCAGTCTCCGATTCGCTACCGAGATCGCTTTGTTTCATATCTAACTATAATTTTGTACTTAAACGAAGTGACTACACAAGTTGACCTCTTAATTTTACTACGGTTTTATTTATACATATAGATAGATAGATAAATCATTTATTTGCATACACTTAACACATGAAATACTTAGTAAAGTTGCAGGATAACAATAATAAGAAAAGAATAGAATACAGCAGAATGCGATATAAGCATGCATAAAACAAACAAAAGTAGTTACAAGTAGAAGAATATTTCCTGCATGATGTGTGTAATATACAATAATATACATGCTTACTTACTTATTTATAATTCGACTTTCGTATTTATAACTTTTTCTAGCGGTAACTCAGACAGTGTCTGAGATATGGGAGTGGGACGGGAGGGGTGATTTTGACATATTATGACATGACAGAGCATATAAATTTGAAATCTCGCTGACATTTGACGTAACAAAACACACTCTCCCGTGCCGCTTCCATACCTCAGGTACTGCCTGAACTATCGAAAACTATCGAAGCAATCTTCAACTGTGTAACTAATTTGAGGCACCTCTTTCTGCTACCGACAGTACTTAACTTCCGCAGCCATTGTTTAATTTACTTCTTTCAACCGTGCATTTGCTGCTTTTTACATTTCTATACAGTCGCGATACTGTAGCGCGTTAGTAGCGCCTTCGCATCACTTCTGTAGCGCGTTGCATTGCAAATGTGACTAATGCACTTTAGTAGCGAAGCTGTCGCAGCATCACTACAAAAAGTCGCCGTGGGCGACGGTCTTAATTTTTACTTTTTTTGTAGTATAATTACCTACATCAGACCAGACTATCTAGCTAAACCATTCAAGGTTCGTTTCAGCCGAAAGACGTCCACTGCTAGATAAAGGCCGCCAAAATTCAAGGTATTAAACTTATATGCTTGACTAGCGGCTGCCCGCGACTTAGTACGCGTGCACCCCGTTTTATCTCCTTAGGGGTGGAATTTCGTAAAATCCGTTCTTAGCGGATGTCCACACCCTATAAGGAACCTGCCCAAATTTCAAGTTTGTAGGTGTTATACCTAGCTACTAAGATTTCGTGATTAATCAGTGAGTGATATTTGCTTTTACATACTTAAATAGATTATTCGTCTGATTTCTAGCTAGCAAATAGTTGACGCAGACAAGAATAAATAAAATATCTCAAATGTACTTGTTATATCTGGGGCCTAATTGTTCAACTGAATTGCTTTCAATATGACAAAATATGTACGTCCATCAATGTCTTATAAATTCAGCGGTGAGTGATTTGATTTCCGCTTGACTTAAATTTTAAACTGAAATCAAGCGATTGCTATTGATGCCGAGTGCATAATTAGCAAAATGACTTTTCATTAGTTTAAGTTCGTTCTTACGCCACTGCGAGCATACATCTGTAAGATAATTATTGACATAATAATTTAATATAAACAGCATGAAGGGCATTAAGGTTAAGGTCCAACTATTCATATTAGTAATTGTAGAATTGGCATTTTTCTGATATATTTTGTGTCAAAATTGTAGTGCCTATTGGTTAATGTCTATAGTTCATGTTTGGTTAATCATTAATGATAGCTACTTTTGACACATTACTTCACAGAATTTTTTACTAATGAATTCACTAATGTTTAATTTATGTTTCTGGGAGAAACTGAATTTAGTAGTACTACAATGCCAATAATAAATTAAACGTACCTAATTAGCGTTAAACTATTTTATTTTGTACGTGATCCGGTTTGTTACTTTTAATAAAGAAACAAGTTCTTCCCGAATGTTATAAAGACGTCTCGTAGATATACTATAACTTGCATTTCTGTTATCTTATGTTTACGCTTCATAGCTTTTAACATTTTATGGGGCACAATCGCAAAAAGAATAATTTAATCTTAAATGCACTGGAAATAACGATCTAAATTAATCTCAATCAACCTATACATAAGCCTCAGGCAAGATTGTGCTGATGATGCTGGCTATTATGCTAATCCAAATAATTATTTAATCTTCAGCACAAAACATGTGAAGCCCGTAAAGTAAAAATAGCTGTAGATGTGTTCATTTAACATGTATCAAAATGCATTACTTGGCAACCTTGCGCGGCCGACTGCTGGCTGACTCATGCATAAAGACCATTAGCCACAATGGATTTATTCTCAAATAACAATACCTATTGTGTAATTAAGCCTAAGTTTTTTGTCAGCGAGTCCCACTTTTTACGTCAACGCTCAATCTACGTTTATGAGCACAGAATAAATGTTCCCATAAAAATTTTATGTTTTCATTAAAGTCAATTGAATTGCTTAACCGGTAAATATTGCTATCGTTATTAATTATCGCGCATCATTAGATCGTCCTCATTTCTTTCTTATGTTCAGAAAATATGATTGTTCTCTTTATTTATCCATAACTTACACTCGTGTTGATTACTACTACTTACATACATATAAACAGATAACTTATTTCGTTTCTAGGCAATGTTAGTTGATAGGAAATGGAGTGAGACTTCTAATTAAATATGTGCAATTAATACTAATTTCTGAACAAACAGTAATTTCCTCACGTTATAAATTAGGTTTATTATACTTATGTCGTTTAAAAGAAATCGCGGTTGGTTTATTGCTAAAGTAAACCACTGAACAGCTAGAAAAAACCACGGAACTGACCCTGACTCTGTTAACAGATTTACGTTTCAATTTGTTACGCTTTGGCTCCTGTGGCGTCTCGCCGTGTAGTGTAATTTGAATTCATGTACATTCATATTTTGCTCCGATATTTGAAATGATAAGTTCCGAATCTAAATTTAATTAGAGCTAACTAGCACAGATACCGGTGAGATTAAAAGAGACGTTTAAATTCTAGCGAAACAGGACACAATAGAAAACTACTTTCTTAAGTGACTCGTATGATTTTGTTAGTATTGAAAACCTAAATGGCCCTGACTACACTGCATTTTAGAAATCATCGGTAGCCACCACCCACGTATCTAAAATAAATGTCACGTTTGCTGAGAAGAAACTGCAACTCATTGATCATTCGCACATAAAACAATGCTACGTGAACTTTTGTTATAATTACTATTCAAATCATAGTCGTTCTTATTTCTATACCTGTGCACTTAGATTTTAATACCATTACTTCTCCGTCCCACATAGGTAGATTTCAATGATTTAGGCGGCCAAAAATATTTTTTGCTTGAAATTAGTTATAAGTACAAAATTAAATTAAAATAAACCATTTTTGACTGATTTCTTTTATTATTAATGATAATAAAACATTATTTCACTTAAATATAGAAATTTAAAAAATATATATATTAAACAGTTTCATTGTTATCATTGATACCCCATCGTGTGTGGTATCGTTGGATAGGTCATTTAAAATGACTTAGGGGTTTCTAAGACTATTTTTTGATTTAGTGATCCGTTTGCAAAATATTAAAGTTTAAAGTGATAATTTTTTTTTCGAATATGGCGTCCCCCCCTCTAAAAACTAAAGTGTTGGTTTGAAAAATCTGGAAAAATTCATAATAATAGTGCTTTTCATGAACTTTTAAGGAAAACTATGACGGTTAAGATAGATCAGTTAGTTCAAGAGTAATAGTCGTTTAACTCCTGTAAAATTTCATACTTAATACAAAATCCTTAGAAGAAAATATTAAAAGTGACTTTAGATGAAGTAATTGCTTGCTTATGAAATATATTATGGTAACGACTGACAACTACGGAACCCTACACTGCGCTTAGAACGACATGCACTTGTCAATTTTTTGTATTTTTATAAAATAACAATAAGTAGGGAGGTATATCAATCTCACTTTGAGAGCATTCCTCATTGGGTCACTACTTGCTACTTGGCTTGGCAGACATCAACATTTCCATTGTTTTAGGAAGGAAAGCTATGCGAGAAGGTCTTAATGTGTCTCCTGGAGCTGATCAAGGGGTCTGATGTTAATAAAAGTCNGTGAAGCTGATGGCGCGCGACGAGCTGCACATGGGCCAGGACTCCATGCTCGTGGACATCGAGGACCTCACCAGATACTTGTAAGGGCCCGCCGCTCACTACAGCACCCTATAGTGAACGAGCTGCACTCGCAGTCGCGTCGCTGGACGACTCGCTGGTGAAGCTGCTGATAGCGCGCGACGAGCTGCAAAAAATAAGTTGCAATGTTCGGAACCCGAATTTTTAGAGGTAGATGTTTAAATTGAACTGTCTTTGGCTGTTCACTCCCGGGGTGATTAATAATCACTGATTATTATCCCGGTACAGATAAGTGTGCTATAAACACGCGCAAGGAATTGCAAAAATCGTTAAGTTGGAAACTTCAAATAGTTTTCTGATTACAACTAAATCTAGTAGTAACGGTTCACAAAAAGGTAGCCATTAAATGAAACTGACTGTTTTTTTTTTATTATAGAAACTAACAATTTAAAACTTATTTCCATTAGACCTGGGCCCATTGTCTTGTCTTCGAATACTTTCAATAATCAAGATAATAAAGGAGACGAAGAAGAATTAAAGGATGAAAGTTATTTTGTTAGTGGCTTTGATTTTCTTATGATCTATTTTTTAAAGATACATAAATTTGAAAAACATAATTTAAACCATATTTTTCAAGACAAGAAAGCGTAAGCGTTTCTTATGTAGCTCATCATCATCACCAACTCAACAATATCTTAATGTACTTTTGTTAACCATAGATTAGAAACATAAATTATTACAACCGCCAGCAGAACATGTAGATAATAGAAATAGTCACTATTAATAAAGTACCTTAAGTAGTTGTTATAGATTAGATTTTGCATCAGCAATGTCGGCCGTTTGGTGCAGTGGTTCAGAACGGACTACTATGCCGAGAGGTCCCGGGTTCGATTCCCGGCCGGGCAGAAATTGAAATGATGAATTTTAATTTCTGTGACGGGTCTGGGTGTTACTATGTATAATATGTATGTATTTAAAAAAAAAAGTATATAAGTAGTGTATCCGTCAAGCTAGCACCCATAACACAAGCATTAAGTTGCTTACTTTGGGGCTAGCTGGCGCTGTGTGAAAAAAAAAAAAAAAAAATGTGTATTTTTATGAACTGTCGTTTGTACTTCACCGTGTGCTTTTTCTTTGTTGCAGGGGCGTTAAGGAGCAGTCTAAGAAGACCAAAGGATCCACAAAGTCCGGAATGAGAAGGCTCACGTCCCTGGTGCACAAATAAGTACACAATGTTTAATGTTAGATTTATTACGGCAATTTGTTCTAATTTTAAGTACTGACTGAATGGTTGCTATAAATTTTTAACATTGTACAGTACAACCACATCAGAAAAGACCAGTGAAAACCTATGATGAGCCTGTGCTTCTATTTTTTAAGATAAATGTCGTACTGTAAAATGTTCTTAAAGAAATATAGCAGCTATACACGTCATCCTATATAGTACATGCAAAGCGGCGTATGTATGTTTAGGTACGGTGAAATATGGTATTCGATTAAAGTGGGATCCAACATTATGTACTTTGTATAAACGATAATTTTAAATATTGTATGTCAGATATACTATTCAGTGACAGATATTACTAAATTGAATTTGTAGACTGTATCACTACTATTTATTCGCCTAAAATAGGTTGCTTTAAAAACATAATATAATCCGAACAGATTTTCATGCAAATCTTAACAATCTTCGAGGCTACAGTTTGCATGAAAACTTTCTTGACGTATACTGGATTTTAATGTAATTATATAAACCCTACATTTTACTGTAATTACATAAACCCTACATTTTACTGTTTCTAAATGTTACCTACATATTATATTACGTATAAGGTTTCTCCTACTCGTAATCTTAATGTTATTCCGTCACAGTTTCATGTCTATATCTAAAATTGCGTATATCGTTGTATACATTTTGAAATACATATATATTCACATATATTATGTCCGCTTTAAAATAGATACTAGCCCACCTAGAGATATTAAATATTTTGTGATTATTCGCAGATTAGAAGAAATATTTTTTCAATATAGTGCTCATTGTTATAAATTGCCGGAGGTTTGGTTTCGTCTGTTGAAACAAAAAGCAATTTAAAGTTCTCATATTATGTAATCGTGACACGTATGTAATATGTGTACTAATATAATCGTGATATTTCGTATATTTACTATTAATAACAAATTCTTAACCTAACATTTCATATCGTGCCACTTAGTAATTAGGGTAAATGATTTAGTTATCGCCCAGCATAATTCTGATTGAACTCTTTTTTTTTCAGTCCTATGAAAAGAATTAAATGGAATTTTACCCAGTTACATGCCGTGATAAGGATAGGTAGCAACATTCTTCTGATTTCTTTCATAGGGAGTTTATCACCGTATACTGGACAAAAACTCCAAAATTTACCCTACATAGACAAAGTAACACCAATGCGTATTGGAAAGACTTAAGAATCTTATGACCGTATGCTACATACTTAGATAGACATCAATTTTATCTCTTATGAAATTATATCTCGTGCTAATCAATCTAGGTGCGCGTTTGCATAGGTAGTGAATAGATATACGGTTTAATTTAGTAGAGTTCACAGGCGAATTCAAACCTACCGGCGATATGTAGTATATTCACTTATATTAGGTAGGCATGTAGTGATGCACATGCCTAAATCTTACTATTACAAGAGGCTTGTTCTTTAAAAATGTAGATCGTAAAGACGATGAATGGCGTCGAATTGCAACATCTAACAGATTTACAAGTTACTAAGTTCTAATCATTCTATTCTCAGACCTACTTAATACACAAAATTTCATAAGAATCGGTCAAGCCGTTTCGAGCAGTTTTATTACAAACACTGGCACGAAAATTTTATAACATTAGATCAGCTCATTAAACCTCCACGCTTAATTAAAAAGTACATTTACTGTACTTGTGCAATCTGATATACTGCGTGTTCAAAACAATGAAGGAATAAAATAAAATCTATCTATATCGTCATCGACTCTCACAAAACGAATGCGAATATAAAATAGCAGCTGCATAAAAAGTGGTCGAATGAATATTTTTACTTGCGTTCCCAACATTTACCACATTTGGTAGCTTGATCCTGATTTACAAAGTTAATGGGTCCGTGAAACTTTACCAGTTTTTACTGCGGACTTTTTCTGTAGATGGCTTTTGTTTTAAACCCCCTTAAAATCCGATACGCAATCAGAGTTACCTGTGGATATCTAAAATCACAATGAACTGTTTCGAATAGACAGTTAACTATCACAGAAAAGCACTACAGACTTTAATTGAAGAGAAAAATATCTTCGTACGAAAACCTAAGACTAAGTAACTTATAAATCTGTTAATCTGTGTTGCAGTTTGAGTAAAATGCATAGGCAATAAAACTGCTGATGATATACTTTTTCTATCACGTTGTTACCCGTTATTTTGGATCTGTAGTCTCGTGGCGTTTGCGCAGGCCTAACACTTTGTTCAGCTTTATAGGACATTGATTAATCAAACTTTTTCCCAGTAGTTCCCAGTGATTCTTCGTTAAATTAAAATAGTAACCAGCTCAAGTTGAATATTTGAAACTAGGAAAATATAAAATAATACGACTTTGTAGTAACATAATAATTACCTCATTCTAAAAATCTCGACGCCTCTCCTAGTGCTCTTAAAAGACGCCTGTGCAAAGCCCAATTAATAGTTGTTAATTAGACCAATATACATAGGATAATTTTACGTTATATTTTTTCCTGATAGTTTATGACGTTTTTCGTTATTCATAAATTGCATTCCCAATCGATAACATAACTCGATGTATTTCAAAAAATCTAAAACTGCAGCATGATAAGTTAATTTTATTATATTATTTAAATATACATACAAGCGTTCTCCCAACCGAATTTATTTAGGTTTATATTCCATACATTAATTAGTTATTTTAAACGATGTTCTTTATGTACTGTTTTACTTGTTTGTATGTATATAAAGTTAAACAATTCCAGATCTCTTAGTTTTTTCTACTTGATATTATATGATATTTCTCGGAGTTCCTTAAACTTACTGAAATTTAAATTTATGTACATCCTTAGGTTGTTGTTAATTTAGTTTGCTAGATTGATTCAATGTGTAGTTACCTTTCTTGTGTGTTACTTTAGTGGGATTAATTAGTTCTTTGCTCCCAAATTATTTTCTATCTAAGAATATGTATTAGCTTTTTCTTTATTAATTTGATTACCCTTTGCCTACTTGTTGGAATTTATTTTAACATCATTATGTTTCATTTCGGTTAAATATTCGTCCCTCTATCTTTATAACATGGGAGCAAATAATAACTGTATAATAAAAAAAAATGTGTAAACAGCTATAAATGATGTGAAGTAAATCACCAACATGCAAAAGGCAGAGCCGTACTTCGATATTTTTTGATTTATTTTCCCCTTAGTTTTACGATCTTAATAAGTCGGTCTCAATCATGTTTTTAAAATATTCATTGCAGGCATTCGTTCTGTCAAAGGATTTTTATACTTCATTAATGGATCGTATTAAATTCTTATTGATACTCACTGTAGACTTCTTATTCTAATTATTCACGATGGGGTTACAGCGGAGGCATGTGGGTAGTACCCACATGCCTCCGCTGTAACCCCACTGGGTACCTATATGTATACATCGCGGCGAGTAGGTGCATGCGACGCAGCTGCAGTTTACTTGACTTGTCTCCTATACAAATGGAGTGTACGCATCTGTACTTACGGTTTGGTAATATTTAATAAGATAGCCCTGCGGGCTCGTATCTTCGATCAAAACCTATCACATTTACAAGCCGTTAAAGATTAAAACGTGACTGCGTTGACATTAAAAGTTTTTAAACTGCTGCTAAGAATTCTTTTCTACCTTTATTTCATTTTAAATCGACGAAACTTATGTTAATTACGTGTACCTCAAACTACTTTTATATCTCAGTGACTAATTTTCAGATAATATCTTCGTAAAGTAATCGGTTGTGGTTTATCTGACTATTCTTTGTTCTTTGACCATCATAGTAAATTCAGGTTAAACTTTGTCTCTGTATTTTAAGGTATTGAACTAAGCAGCTGAGAGTAGGTACGTCGTTAACTACAGTTAGCGAAAAGAATGCTTGGCGCGCTTAAAAAATCTTACCGACATGTGATAAATACTATTGTACTATTCTAAATAAAGGGGAAAGTGTTTAAATTGTCGTTTTATTTTTATACAACAGCAGATGCATCGATAAATAGTTTTAAGAAAAAATCCTCAAAGCTCGTAATAATTATGAATTTGTAAAATTGAATGAAAAACTTTTTGGAAAACGTGAAAAATCTTGCGTAACAGTAGGAATTGTCTCATAGGATCCCACGTATTTTTATATCTACTGGATTTGGTTGTAATTTACGATACTGATAAAAATAGATTACTATAATGTTTATTATTGCGTGATTATTTGTAATAACCACAAAGGGGACAATTAGCAGTGATGTCCTAACGGGTCGTTCCCACAGCGATGCGACCACGATGCCGCGACAGGCGCGCGCGCCAAAACTCCGTGACCCCAAATTGAAGCGGTCACCTGCGCGCCCAGGTGCGCTTGCGCAATTAATACCATCCTCTAATAATAGATACACCTCACAATTTATTTGTTTTATTGTCCTCATCGCACTCTAGGACTTTCGCTTAAGACCCTTTTAACCAAGATAAATGCTTCCTTTCTCGCAAATATTTATTATATTCTCCCCTATATTGCCCCACATTTAATCTTAATCGACATTGAAGTGCTTTTATAGGGTGGTATTAATTGTGAGAAAGGACATTTGCAATCTTATCTGTTTATTGGATACTGTTGTTTGGGCAAATTGATTTCCTGTGGGAATCAATATTTTTAAATTAGATATAGGAAGGTGTAATGGGTCTATATTTTATGAGTAGGCCTTTTATTAGGTGTCTCGACATTTTAATTAATGAGTGATAATATATTGATTGCTAATATTAGAAAAACACTAAAGAAGTTTGTAAGCTAACATATTTACAAGATATTTAATAGTGGAAGGTTTCATCAAATTAAAATAAATGACTGGTTATAAACAGTAGGTAATGCATTATGTTTAAAAAAAACCGCGTACTCGTAAGCATAGTAGCAAACAAAAGAGCAAATGTTTTATTTTAGGAACGTAAAGCGGTGAAACATAGAGTAATGGCCGATGGTATCGCGGGGCATGCAAATCACCGCGGCACGGGCCACATGCGGGCCCGGCCGACCGCATGGGGAGGCTTGGGAAGGTTTGCAACTCAACAAATAACTTCCTTTAAATTCAAAGAAAGTTTGTTCTTAGACAGTACAATAGCCTTCTAGAAAAGTTACTAAGTCCTACCTACTGTATAAAAGTTTTGACTTACTTGACAAAGTCCTATGTCCCCCCCTAGATGAGGCAGACGGCGTCCACAACAGTCCTTCATCGCGTTCAGTCTTGAGCTTCGCGTTTGATCTCGCTCCAATATAGAATGAAAGCTTTGGCCTTCTTAACTAACACCTTGGAACGTAGTTTGAGAAGAAAACAGCGTTTTTTAAGCTCTAGATAGCTTGCGGGAAACGTTAATATATGGAAGTTACTCAACAAATATCTGGACATTTTACACTAAGCTATCAATTCCTAATTTATACGTAGAGTATTTGGGTGTCAGGCCACACTGATATAGCTAGCATAAGTTCAAGGATTGAACCCGCGTCCTCTGGCATAGTAGTCCGGCACGCGAACCACCTAACTATGACTACATTCTAGGAAAATGAACGCATTTTCCTATGAAGATTGGTCATATTCAGGATATTATTAATAGCACATACCTGGACTGAATATGAGGAATTCAAACAAATTCAAGCGTTTAGATTTAGCCTTAGTTTTTCAGTTGCTTAAAGTAATGTAAATAGCATTTTGTCCTGACTGACCCTTCGCCCCATCCTACTCGATGGTAGCTATTATACGAGTTCAATGTCAATGGTAGGGTCGCGACTCGCGGCTGCGGATACGGGCTCGACCGAAGCTCGACGCGATTTTATTGCTCCTCACTGTAACTTGATTACCCGCCTCCATTGACTTGTTGATTGTAAAACGCCTTATAATAAAAACTCGTAGATTCTAGACTCAGAAGTTCTCACGATAACTTTGAACATTTAACAAGCATCGAATGTTTTTTTTAAAAAAGATAACAAAATAAATTGACTCGATTTGTTTATTTAACTTCCAGTGATACGAGTATTAAATGCCAGGCAGTGGATTACAGGTTCCAATGAGTGCAAAGGCGCCAAGCAAGCTACATCTCTCTATTTCTTATGCAAGTTCTTGCTGAATGAACCTTCTAGTAAGTAAAATAAACAAGGATACTTTACAATTCCATTGCCTCATTTTTTCTAACTCGAGTCTATGGAATAGAGTAACCTAAAACCTAAAGTTACTCCTAGCAAGTTTTCAGAAGTTTATCTCATTCTTATTAGACTAAGTTTTGCAGTTCCATTAACTAGGCATTGTAAAAAATTTGAAAGTAAAATTCTAATCATAAGCATGGGCATCCCACTTTCTAAAATATAATAAATGTCACGAACAGAACTGTTTATTTATTCAGATCAATGGTTCTGAAAAAAAAAATGGAAATAATATCTGAAATATAGGCAATATTTAATATTATGAAATATATGAGGGGTGGATGTAGCAATTTGAAAAATTTTGCATGCTTGTGATATTATAATCCGTGGCGGGCAGCACAATGAACCCCATCAACCGAAAAATGATTAACAAGCGATTACACTGACGGATGGGCGGCGCGCGCGCACTGGCTTCTCTCTGCGTAGACTGAACACTGTTTAGAGCTGGCTAAAATGTGTTCAGTGAATTGTTAAAAATAAGAAGTAAATAAAATCCATACATATTACGAAGAACATGAAAATGTGTGAACCATAGGTAATGTATGGCCACCCTGTCTTTTCAGTGTGATGGGGGTTATGGAAATAATGATAATACTGAAAAATTCAAAACATAGGTAACGAGAATGAGGAATGATCTAAGCAGTAAGCACTGTTATTTTACATGAGGCTAAGTTAACGTTTGAACTCAACCTCACCTTGATAAAGATCCTATTCTAGCAATAGAAGTAGGTATGCAATTTTACCCACGTAAAGTTAGCGAGACAAAATGAAAGTAGAGTACCTACCTATAATTTTGTGCCTTGTCTTGTGTTACTTACTTACTTTTCCTAAATATACATTTTCTAATATCTAAGTAGCAAAAATGTAAATTGTTTGATCCTAAAAACAAATCGAAGTCACATATTTAAGTCTATAGTTTTACCGATGAGTGAGCAGAGCGGGCGCGATGCGCGGGCGCACGTGCCGCGACATATGGCGGCGCCATACTGTTTGTTTGCCAATCATAACGGACATAACTCATCAGATAACGGCCCACCGCCTCCGGCATACGATCTAAAACAATGTGCAACAATTAACAAGTCGACAAGGGTACTCTCGCGCACGATTCGTTACGGTTTTCGGCAGATATTCGAGATGTTATTAATTTCGTAGCAAATTGCATAGGGGATTTTTTCAGCTTGATTATAGCATGGTATAACACATGTATTTACGGGTCCTCCTAACGCTACTCATATCATGCCACTTAACTGGTTATGGTTACCTACCGAGTACCAAAATTGCAAAAAGCTTGAAATTCATAAAACATGACCTACCTAAGGTTTGCTTCATGTATTTCAGAACGACAAAGATATATTTGCACTTTGCAAATAGGTTTGCGTTCTCCAAAATCGTGCCGCATTAGTTACATGCCTTTACATTAATATTTCTGGATACAGTGTTTGGTCAATATGCAGCTGTCCCGTTTACTTGGACATCCTGTACAAAGTAAAGGTAAAATAACCGTAAATCATAAGATTTGGTTGGCAACCGTTTTGGCATCAAACGTTACTTCCCCCGAATTCAATGAGGCCCTGGAACCTGCAATTTGAGCGCGCGACGAGCGCCCGCGCCTGTCGCGACATATGGCGCGATCCATGGATCACTGCTAAGCCTTGCACTAGATATAGCGTTAGAAACTGGAATAGACATCTAGTTACTATTAAGGTAGATAAATAAATTAAGTTCAAAGGAGGACAGGAATACATATACGAGTATTATGTACCTATACTGAAAATTTACTATTCCTGAAACGCATGTTTTTAATAGGAAACTTTCGATTTTGAATTGAAACTCATGATAACTTAAACTTCAGCGAGATAAATGATTAGTTAATGTTTCTATGTTAATGAGGAATTCCGTAAACGAACTAAAGTCGCT